TGGTAGCACACGCCTGTGATCCCAGCACTCAGGAGGCTGAGGCAGGAGGATCACTGTGAGTTCGAGACCAACCTGAGCTACAGAGTGAGTTCCAGGTCAGTCTCAACTACATAGTGAGATCCTGTCTCAAAAAGCTAAATAAATAAATAAAATAAATTTTAAAATAATAAGCTCAAAATTATAAGGATAAATTTTATTTATTTTGTTTTTTTTTTTTGAGACAGGGTCTCACTATGTAGTTGAGACTGACCTGGAACTCACTATGCAGCCCAGGCTGGTCTCCAACTCACAGCGATCCTCCTGCCTCAGCCTTCCGAGTGCTGGGATTATAGGCGTGTGCCATCACTCCCAGCTAGGATAAATTTTAAATTTGTAAGACATTAAATGTTATATAAAAATATATGCATCATAACCATAGCAAAACATTTACCAAATCTAGAGAAATAATTCTGTATTTAAGTACAAGATTCAAAAAACCTCAAATAGCTAAGATCAGAAAGGAATCGCTCCACAATGCATCATAGTCAAAAGTACAGGCAGTAGACAAAAGAAGAAAATTTACAGAAAGTTAAGAGAAAAACAGTTAACAACTGTTAGAAAAGAAAAAAAACAGCAAACAACCTATGAAAATAATCCTTTAGAATAACTGTGGACTTCTCAGCACTATCCTTATAGGTCAGGAGCTAGTAATACACTTTATAAGCCCTAAAGGAAAACAATTTCCAACCCAGACTTTTATACCCTGCAAACTTAGCCTACAAAATTGAGAGAGAAGTAAACATTTTCTATGAAAAATTTTTTCTATGAAAAAAGAAATTCTGGAAAAATAATGCTCACTAAAGCAGCGCTGAACCAAATATTCAAGGGAATCTAAGCAGACAGAGCCTACCAGCACCAACGAGTCCAAATGAGAGTATACATCTATCTGGCAAAATAGTTAAATAAAAGAAAGGGGGAGTATTAGAAGGGGAATTAGAGAAGATCAAAATGCTGTGTGTGTACATACTGATTTCCCCACAACGGATGCACTTGTAATGCACCGTAAAGGTATACTAATAAAAACCTGTGAAATCTTTCAAAAAGAGTGACGGGAAATGAAAGTTGTTTGAGGGATTTCTACAGGAGACATTTCTAAAAAGGGATATTAAAAAGACAACGACTAAAAGGAGAACCAGAAAAAGTGAAGTGGGCCACTAAGAAAAATTAATACATACTGTGCATATTCATAAGTGTTAAAGTGCAAGTAGAATGATCTTTCAAACTTTTCACTTGTTAGATTGTGTATTTTTATAGCAAAACATTTATTAGTACATTTTAGGCATACATAATGATAACACTTATCACAGGGAATTTGCACCTGTACATGAGACATCCCACCTCTTTTTTCCCCTTCCCTTCTTCCCTCAAACCCGCTCCCCTTCCTATGTGCCAAAGCTTTGTTTCCATTTTTATAGGGAATGGGAAAGGGTCCACTAGCAGAACCCCTGCAGTGGGTCCTGGTCTCCTGTGAGCCACAACAGCATGAGGCCAATTAAAGAATAAAGACAGGAAACGAGAAGCTGGGTCTTGGGACCGATCAATGCCACTCTAGGCAACGAAGGAAAAGGCCCTCAAGTGCATCCAATATTTATTGACTAAACAGTGGAGAGGAATAGAAAGCAGAGTATCTAGTGAAACACTGCCAAACACCTAGTATGATGGCACCAGGCAGGGCTGTCAGGCAGTAAGCACTGCTTATCTTTCTGGGATAGAACAAACCAATAGTGGGACCAGGTACAGTGAGCACGCAACCCATCAGGTAAGACAGAAGCCACACGTAATTCAGGGTAAAGAATTTTATTTTATTTTATTTTCAAGATAAAGGATTTTAATTGGGGTCACACTGACCTCAGCTGCACCTAACTCAGCAGGGCCCTGCGACTTCACAGAGCAGGACTTGGGCCTGGGGGACAGCCATTAGTAAAGAAGCCATACTAGCCCAGCTCTGTTATCTGACACACCGTTTTGAGTCATGCAGGGCTTTGGTCTGACTCCTATTACAAAACAATATAGCCAAACTAGGGAAAGAAGCATGTGCCACTCACAGCCCACTATTACTGGGCAGGGATGTCTACTACATATTTTCCTTCAATTTTCAGTTTTTCTTTTTTCCAGTATCAAGAATTGAACTCAGGACCTTGTGCCTGCCAGGCAGGTGCAGTGCCACTGAGCTACAACTCCAACCCTATTTTCACTTTTTTTCTTGTCCCTTCCTTCCTTTCTCCCCCCTCCTTCCTTGTACTCCTCAGTTGAACATTTTCTTCCCATTTTCCAAAATCTATTACACATTTTAGTTCTTATTTCCACTTTCAGTTTTTCACACCAAAGGAACGTATGTGTCCAATGTGTTTCACTTAGAGTATTTATTTCACTTCAGAGTATGATCTCAAGGTGCATACATTTAGCTATAAATGTCTGAAGCTCAAACGTCTTTGTGGAAGAGTAGTACTCCATTGTATTAAAAAATCTTTATCCAATCATTGGTTGATGGGCATTTGGCTGTTTCCAAGATTTAGCTACTACAAACTTTGCCACTACAAACATGAGTGTGCATATATCGCTGTGGTATGATGTTTTTAATTCTTTAGGGAAGACACTAAGAAGGAAAATAGCTGGGTCAAATGGAACCTCTAGCTTTAGTTGTTTTAAGAAATAGCCACACTGATTTCCACAGTGGTTGCACTAGTCCACACTCCCACCAACAGAGAAGAATTAGCCATGATCAAAAACACATCTTGGCAAGGCACATAATAATCAAGATTCCAATGTGAAATAGGAAGAAAAGGGCTAAAGGTATAGGGGAAGTGGGAAGGGTAGGGGAAAGTTCATAAGGGAAAAGAAAAAACATGAGAAAATGAAAAAATGGAAATAAAGTATTTGTAAATAGGGAAGGGAGGGGGTTGAAGGGAGGGCAGGGACAAGGAGAAAAAATGAGAACCAAGACCTGTCATGCAAAGGTACATGATCCCAATAATGACTAACCTAGATTGTACCAATAAACTCAATGAGAGGAAAAAAATAATCAAGATTCCAGAAATTAAATACAAGGACAGAATATTAAAGATATAAGGGGAAAAAAGATGTTAGAGAAAAGAAACAAATCACCTATAAATGAAAGCCCATCAGAATCACAGCAGACTTCTCAACACAAACTCTCAAGTCAAGGAGAGCTTGGAGTGAAGTACTGCAAGACCTAAAGGAAAACAACCTCCAACCCAGACTGATGCATCCTGCAAACCTTTCTTTCAAAATTGATGGGGAAATAAGATACTGCCCTGACAAGGAACACCTAAAAAATTCAAGACCACCAAACCAGCACTCCAAAGTGTTCAGAAGTATATTCTAGAAAGAGAAAACAAGGACTGCAACTCAATGAACCCCAACAGAATGAATCCACCAGG